TACGCAGAACTAGTGGGTTGCCTCATGTACCTGATGACTTGCACTTGTCCAGATCTCGCATACCCTCTCAGCATCCTGGCTCGCTTTGTGGCGATAGGCAGACACCGACCGCATCACTGGTCGGCCGCTAAGAGGGTTTTGCGTTATCTAACAAGTACATCGGGCATGGGGCTAGTGCTAGGAGGACACAGGCCAGTGGTCCTTACAGGGCACACAGACGCTTCATGGACGGATGACGCTGAGACGCTCAGCCTTCTAGGGCTACTGTTTTAGCCTTGGTGCAGGCGCCATCTCGTGGAGGTCCGATCTCTCGTCGTTTGTTGCCTAGTCGAGCTGCGAGGCCGAGATCTACTCTAGTGCCATGGCGGCACAGGAGCTCCGTTGGCTGACTTTCTTGCTCAAAGACTTAGGTGAGCGGCCTAGCTCTTCCCCGGTCCTGTACGCTGACAACATGACCATGATCCTCCTGTCTTAGGAGCCTCGACTGGAGGGCAGAGCGAAACACATCCAGCTGTGGTACTTTCTCCTACGCGAGCTACAGCAGCGCCGCCTGACCCGAGTAGTACACTTGGCCTCAGGTGCCAACAAAGTTGATAATTTTACAAAGGCACGTGCGCCTAAAGATTATCAACGACACTGTGTACAGCTTGGTAGCTTCTCACTTGCTAGGACCCTGACTGTGTATCACTACTTATATTATCTTGACTGGCCTTGTGGCTCTTGTTCCAGTGGCTGTACTAGTAGTGCCGCCTTGGGTTATACTTGTTCAGTTGGCACTCTTGCTGACTGGTCTTCGGACCCTTGTCTCAGAGGTTGGACTAGTACCGTAATCTCTCGGCATGATTACCCCCCCGAAAAAGGGACTCTGGGTCTTTTTTCCGGACCATGGGTCTTAATATCGTAAAGGGATTGTGAGGACCCCCCCCTTTTCAGTTTTAAGAGGTTTTTCTGGCAGTTTTTGCTCAATTTCAAAATGCGTCATGCACTACGAAGTCAACTTCCACATCATGGAGACTCCGTGAACGAACCCCCCTCGTAATGACTCCTGCTGGCAGTCAAGAAGCCCGCGCGACGCGCCAGTGCTGTAAAGTTGCCAGCCGTTGGTGCTAAGAAACTGACGCGTGTCCATCTAGATGGCTCGGACAAAACGAGGCTAAGAATCTACTGTCCCCCGTTTGAAACAAATGACCCCCTCTATTACCCTGATTGGATTGGAATACCAGAACATGTGACAAAAAAACACCTTACGTAATAAATAACTGCACATGGGTCTTATTAATTACCATCCTTTAAAATGTCCACCCAAACGATTTTCACTGAATTTTCCATAAGACTTAGGGTCATCATCCCGGGAGATTACGGTAGTGCCACCCTGAGCTGTGTGTCTCTTACTAGTCGCTGCCCTTGTCTAGCCTAGGGGGTGTGTCAACATATAATTCGTTTGTGTTCTAGGCTAGGTGCATGCTCATATAGAATGCAACCCCTTTTGTGATATTGTTAAATTTTATTGGTTATATATAACAGTAGGCTTGGTAGGCATTACTGAAACCTACTGTAGAGGGTACAAACCCCTCCTTGTATCCCTCTCTCTTCTAATCTCGCTCTCTTTTCTCTCGTAACTTTTGGCCCCTTCCTAAAACCTCTCGCCTACTTTCATGGCCGCCTAGTGTATTTAGTTCAACATGGTACCAGAGCAGGTTTCCCCCCACGGGCCTACTCCCCACGCTTCCGCCGCGTACTCGCTCTTCTTTCGTCATTACCGTGCCGCCGTGGCGGCCGTGCCAAGCTGCCATGGCGGCTTCGTGGTGCTGCTGTCGTAGTCCTGACATGCTGCCGTGGGGTCGACGCCACGTCGTGGCGACGTCGTAGTGCTGCCGTAGTAGCGTCGACGTGCCGCCGCAGCATCGACGCCGCGTTGTGGCGGCGTCGTCATGCTGACGTGGCGGCGTCGTCGCGCAGCCACGGGCCGCGCTTCGTTTTAGGCGGCGTTAGCCCTGACGCCCGCACACAAGCCAACGCCAGCCACGGGCGTGTTGCTGGACCACACCCCCTTCCCCCCTATGTCTTCCTCTCCTCCAGCCGCAGCTGCTGCCTCAATGCCCGGTCGTCGCCAGGTCGTGCTACGCCGACGAGTGCCGCGAGCCTCGCTGTAGCCGCCGCCGTAATCGAAGCCTCCGCCGCCGCCGCTGATGCCGCTGGCCTTTCTTGCCGCCGCACGCCGCTGTCGCCGCCGTTGTCATCACCGTCGCCGTTGACGCCGTTGCTTCCACCCGCCGGGGGTGTGTCACCGCTTCGCTCAAAGGGTAGAAGTCTCATCAGCTGCGGCACATTGGGGTGCTAGGGTTTTGGGGGTGTTTTGTGTGGGGTGGGCTTGTCGCTTCCAAGAGATAGTGGAGATATAGTGTGGGAGAGTGGAGAGATAGTTAAGAGAGTGTGGAAGAGTGGAGAGAGTGTCTAAAAAATCATATGAACGCTTAAAAAAAAGTATGAAAATCAGACAAACAGATGGTTTTTGTTTGATGTCGAGAGCCCTGCTGCTCACCAAGGACTTCAACTGAGAGAGCTAGAGAAGCTATGGCTGCAGCAGGGAGCCTACCATGCTATGCTTTGGTAGCACCTTCAGTACAATGTTGTATGTTGTATGGAGTTCAATTTAATGTCCGAATGGTACGTAGTGATTAGGTTGACTGTTCATCTCATCCACGTGCTAGATCCTTTGTGTCAGTGTTGAGTAGAAAAAAAAAGGAGGAATATAACAACTGGCTTTTCTAGGATTCTAGAAACCAGAATATAGGAATTGCAATTCCTTACACGATTATTTCTATAACGAATTTCGTTTTAACCAGCAACTGTACGCGTTGTTAGCTTCCATTACCCACTCGACTCAGCTTGCGTCATTCCGCCACTGGGCAACACACTCTTCGGCTGGCGCGCAACACCTCCCCACACGGGTCTTGGCTGTCAACTATGAGCGATCCGTTCCAGCTTCGGCTCGGACCCTCGTGCTCCACTCTCCTTGCCGCACCCCCTCCCCCGAACCGAACGCGTTCCCATGTTTCGAGTCCCGAACCGAATTGACCCGAACCACCCCTCGCTCCATGCACCCGCGCCGAGCTAGGGACTTTTGCACTTTCGCCAAGTCCGTTGCGTCAAGCCAATAGCCTGGCTCGGCTCGGCATTCCCAAAACGCAGTTCGCGTCGCCCGCCACAATCACCCACTCGCTTGTCGCCTCAAATCGGACTCCCGCAGGCCACCAGCCACCCGCGCGTCGCGTTCCGAAACGAGGCAAGGGCGAAAAATTTCCCCGCAACCCTGGAAATTCTCCCGCCACAGCAGTCCCATGCTAGGCTGGACGCACAGGTGCGCCGTCAGCTTCTCCCGTCCCGGAACTCACCGCCCTCCGAATTTCCCCCTCCGCCTGACGGAACACATGCGGAGAGGCGGTGGGGGAAGTGCGGGGCGGGGCGGAAGATTCAAGAAAACTGGCTTCGCTGCGCGGGTAGTAGTGCAGGTCTCTACGCTAGTTGGAATAAATTAGGGTTCCGTCTGTGACTCCCAGCAGAATAATTCACAGGAGAGCAGCCAGGTGACTCGCCAGGCACCATCCATCCATGCACCTCCAATAATTGTGACTAGGAATTACAGCTCGCTAGCGAGACGAATCTCATTCACTGTAGTCGTCGTGTCATCGAAGCCCAACGCCAACCTTCCATCCATTATATAACCCCAACCACTACCTTCCACTCCGTCTTCTGCAATCCCTACTGCCCACCCATCTCACATCTCGTCGCATCTCGCGGGGTTTCTGTCCCTAATCCAGCACTTGTTCTCTCCCGTCTCAATTTTATCGCGCCAGCCATCATGGCTTTAGGGAATCCTTTCTCCGCTCGCGCCAGCTGTCCTTCATCCCTGGTAACCCTATTCGTCCTCGTCGCCCTACTCGTTGTCGCGCATCAAGCCTCGGCCGCCAATCTCCCGCTGGACGGCTGTCAGTGCGGCAAGTTGCGGGGCCTGGAGCGAGCGCGAATCAACGCCGTCAATTTCCGGCGCTTCGAGCAGCTGGGGTCGTTCAGTGGCGCGTTCAACAGCCACGGCGGCCGCCTCGTGCCGCACCAGCACGGCTCGGGCTCCGTCAACCTCGAGGTCTACCAGGTCAGCGCCGCTCCGAGTGCCTCTCCCTCGTTACTTTCACTCTCTCGTGAAATTGCTCCCCCTCCCTCCCTTCCAGTCCTTCCCCTAGACTCCGCTTGCCTTGCGGGCTACTTCCGAAAGCTAGTTTCATTTCTACGTTCTACAGCTCAATGCCGCTCGGCCACCCCTTCCCGCCTCGTCGTCTCACGGTCCTCTTCCGCGTTCTTCTCCCTGCGCTACTGCGCTCGAATCCCCCCTTCCCTCGCCGCCACAGGAGGTCGGCAATTATGTCGAGGTGGTGCGCGGCCGGCAGGGCGCCACGCTCGAGGGGTGCTGCGCGGCGTGCGCGGCGTCGCCCTTGTGCTTCCAGTACCACTGGTTCAACAGCGCGCAGCAGCGCCGCAATGCCAACGTGCGCGGGTTCGTGGGCGGCGCGCAGTGCTACCTGCTGGGGGAGGACGGCGGGGCGGGCGTGGGGGGGCACTTCAAGACGCCGTACAGCGGCGAGCAGGACGAGCAGCGCATCATGGCGCCCTACTTCCCGCAGAGCTGGTACGCCGCTTCGATAACCTGCCCTTTCGCCCCTCGTTTCCACTGTCGCGTCGTGTGTTCGCATCACCGCTTTTCTCTGCTTTTGCCGTTTGGCTTGCCTCTGCGCTCCGCTTTCCCCCATTTCGTAATCCTACTGTTTCTAACCTCTGCTCTCCCGTTCCCTCTCGTCCCCATCCCCCCGTCGCTCTTCCGCAACAGGGTGGGCGGAATCTGCAATTCGTCCGCCATCCCCGCTTCCCCCGCCTCGCTCCCCCACCCCACCCAATCCGACCTCGCCACGCTGGACCCTGACAGCCAGCTCAGCAACACCTTCTGCCTACTCAGCGACCGTCGCATCCACGTCAACATCCGCCTCACCGGCTACCACCCTGACCGCCTGCCCGCCCTCCCCGCGGACCCCCTCTCCGCCGCCGCCTCCTCCCTCTCCCTCCGCGGCCAATCCCCCCCCTCCACGGGCGCACAGCCCCGCGCGCGCGGTTCCCCCGGGCTGCGCGCGTGGATCAAGGAGGTGGGCGTGGTGTGGGTGGGGCACGAGGGGCGCCCGCACACGCTGCGGCTAGTCGCGCGCGGGGGCAAGCAGCAGGCGCGTGGGCGCGAGGGCTTCCTGTCCCTAGTAGAGATGGACGGGGTGCAGGTGGCGGTGCCCGTGCAGGTGGGCGCGGCGGCGGAGGGCGGCGGGGGGCTGGTGGTGGCGAAGGTGGCGGAGGAGAAGGAGGGCGCCATGGACGTGGACCAGTACGCCGTGATGATCCAGGGGCTCGCCGAGCTCAACGTGCGCGTGAGGGTGGCGCACCCGCTGCTGCAGAGCGTGGGCGAGGCGGAGGCGCACTTCATCCTCGAGTTCATGGACCTGCAGCCCACCCCCGCGGTGCACGGCGTGCTCGGACAGACGTTCAGGGACACCCCCGATGGGCGGCACAGGGATCTGACGTACGCGCACCTGGCGGGGCTGCTGCACCGGCCAGAGCAAGGGGGCGAGGGGGCGGATGGGTTCCTGGAAGGTTCTTCAGAGGATTATGTGACGTCAGCCATCACCCGGCCTGACTGCGCCTTCTCCGCCTTCCCCTCCATTCCCCTCCCTGCTTGAACCACTCCCCTCCATCGCACTCCCCGCCTGAAGCCCACCCCTCCCGTTTTTGACACGGTGGCGTGCTGCTCTTCCTGCCAAACAAGTTTAGGCTCACCCACTCTCGCTGCCACTCTGCGCTGCGCATGGGCCGAATGCGCCACACATGGCTCTGAAGGGGCGCCATGTGGCTGTGGTCGCTGTATGGCAGCCGAGACACCCAATAAAGAGGACAATAAGCCAAGCAGCAGCGCTGCAGCAGCTAGCTCGCTAGCGACTACAGGATCAGCACCTTTCCCTGTGCTGTCAGTGTGAAAATATGTGTATACACAAGCATGTAATGCCTTCCATAATTAATGTATTGTACTCATTATCTAAGCCGAATGCGCCACACATGCCTCGTTCTCCTTCAGTGTTCTGGTTTTTCATTCACTAAGATCTCATCACAATCCGTTAGACTACATGACGAGGATTTTGCAACTTACAAATCCACAGCAGCTACAACCGCAACCGCAACCGAATCATGTTGCCAAGTTGAGCCTCACGCCCTCTCCCTTTCCCCTTCCTTCTCCACAACTACCAGCCGTGCTCTCACCGCTACTCTTGGCCAGTACACATCGCCCGGGACAGGACAGGAGAGCACAGCCTCGTGTCACGAGTCTGGCACTTTGAACTTGGGCACAAGGGTGAGCCCCTGCCTGTGGTCCGCGCACCGCTGCAGGTACGGCAGCCACGTGGCGGGGTCCGACGACTGGTGCCGCTCCTGCACCCCCGCCGACCCGTCCCCCCGCGGGTCGGATGAGCACATGAGTGAGAGCGGGGCAGACAGGTGGCAGCCCTCCGCCGACCAGCTGCGCGCACACACTGCTGCGCCCGCGTTGCCCCCTGCTGCCCCGCCCTCACTGCTGTGGGTGCTGTGAGCGCCAGTATCGGTGGCAGCGGGCGAGAGCACGAAGGGCGGGTGGCCCCCGAGACCGCTGGCCAGATAGCCCGCTGCAGATGTGGGGCTGAGGAGGGGGAGGGTGGGTGAGGCAGTGCAGGGTGGGGCAGAGAAGGGTGGGGCAGAGAAGGGTGAGGCAGAGGAGCGGCAGAGAGGGAGGGCAGGATGGCAATGGTAGGGAGGGCAAGGTCATGGGAGTGAGAGGGGGAAGTGGCATGCAGTATGTGAGAGATGCAAGGATACACACGCACAGTGCGGGGAGGGATGGTAGGGACAACGAGAGGAGATGCACAAGCGTGCTGACCTGGCAATGATGACGTGGCATGTGCTGAGCAGCCAGAGTCGCACCATCTCCATCTGGTTGGCTGACAGCAGCCCCTCCTCTGAGTCGTCCTCCACCTCAGCATGCACCGTCACCACACTGCCGTGCCATGCCGTGCCATGCCATGCCATGCCATAGGGAGGCAAAGATGGGATGGGAGGAGAGAGGGAGCGGGAGCACTGACTGAGTTGCTAGATCTCGCTAGACTAACCGGCATAGCTTCCACCTCGCTAGCCTATCACTTCCACCTCGCTAGCCTATCACTTCCACCTCGCTAGCCTGTCACTCCCACCTCGCTAGCCTATCACGTCCACCTTGCTAGCCTATCACTTCCACCTCGCTAGCCTATCACTTCCACCTCGCTAGCCTATCATTTCCACCTCGCTAGCCTATCACTTCCACTTCGCTAGCCTATCACTTCCACCTCGCTAACCTATCACTTCCACCTCGCTAGCCTATCACTTCCACCTCGCTAGCCTATCACTTCCACCTCGCTAGCCTATCACTTCCCCAGAAACTCCAACTCGAGGTACTCCCCATGGCCCTCCCCACTGTGCTGACCTGTGGTCCTCGGTGGGCCACTGCCCTCACCTGTGGTCCTCGGTGGGCCACTGCCCGTACGCGCGTTTGAAGAACTTGAGCGCCGCAAAGCTGTCCGCCGCCACAAACACTGCCACCACCCGAGGCACCTGCTGGTGCCTGCCACCGCCAGCAGCAGTCGCATCAGCAGCCGCACCAGCACCCCTGCTTGCTGCCCCCTTCCCCTCTTCCCTGTGTGATACCGCCCCTGCGTCCCCTTTCCTCGTTCGAGAAAACAGCCCAAACCGCCTGCGCTGTGGGCTGCTCCGCATGCCCCTGCCTTCCCTCGATCCATTCCCCCCTCCTTCTCCCGCCTCCTTGCCCTCCCTTGCACCTGCCATTCCGCCGCCCCCCCCCCTTTCCCCTCCCCTCTCCCCTCCTATCTCCCCCCGTTCCCCCCCATCCCCGTCCAGCAGCGTGCGGGCGGCGAGGGAGAGCTGGCGCGCGTTGAAGGAGTGGTTGAGGAAGGACGCCAGCTGGGAGGGCGCCAGTGGCAGCGGCAGCACCCCATGCGCCATGCCGCACTCCAGAGCTTGCTGCAGGAAAAAGAAGGGGGGGGGGGGAGGAGGGGAAGGAGAAGGCTTTTGAGTTGACTCAGGCGGTGAGGGAGAGCTGGCGCGCCTTGACGGAGTGGTCGAGGAAGGACGCCAGCTGTGAGGGGTCCAGGGGGGGGAGCAGCAGCCCGTGCGCCATGCCGCACTCCAGAGCTTGCTGCAGGAAAAAGCAGGGGGGGGGGAGGAGAAGGCTTTTGAGTCGACTCAGGCGGTGAGGGAGAGCTGGCGCGCCTTGACGGAGTGGTCGAGGAAGGACGCCAGCTGTGAGGGGGCCAGGGGGGGGGCAGCAGCCCGTGTGCCATGCCGCGCTCCAGAGCTTGCTGGGGGAAGGTGAAGGGGGAGTGAGAGGGAGGGAGGAAAAAGGGCGGGGATGCATGAGATGATGGCATGCGTGCTGCTAGCAGAAGAGCGGAATTCCGTTCCAGGTACTAGCAGAAAGGTGACTCAAGGATAGGCCACGAGTCAACCACGCTGATGCCACACACGCCCTGGACAACCATTGCACACCCCCCCTCCGCTCCCCCCCCCCCCCCCCGACGACCTCTCTCAATGCCTCCTTCACCGCCACGCTCCCTCCCCCCGCCAGCTGCACGCCCACGCGGTGCTGGGCGTGGCCCAGGTGGCCCTGGTGTGAGCGCACCACCCTCTCCCACACGGCGTTGGCGGGGTGCAGCACGTAGCGCGCCAAGGGCTGTAGCACCACGCGCGCGGGGAAGAGGCGCAGCAGGGGTGCCTGGAAGGCAGGCAGCAGGAAGAGTGAGGGCAGCAGGTGCTGGTCCGAGAGGAAGGCCAGCCACGTTGCGTTGAGGGCCAGCTGGCGCTGCATGGAGGCGCAGAAGAACTGCTCGTCCCACGGGTAGCGATGGGCCTGGGGGGGGAAGAGGAGAGGGAGGAGTAGATTAGAGGCAGGAGGGAGAGGGAAAGCAAGGAATGGCAAGCAAGAGAGGAGGCGGGGAGGAGGAAGAGTGATTGTGGACAATGTCTAGCAAGCATAGTGTGCGAATGAGAATGAGAGGGCAGCATGTGTGAGCGCCCCTTGCATGCAATGTGGGCATGTAGTATGCATGTGCATGCGTGAGCAGCATGTCATGCCCGTGTGCATGTGTGCATGCAGTTATGGTTGTATGTGAAGCGCATGTGCATGTGCATGTGCGTGTGCGTGTGCGTGTGCGTGTGCATGTGCATGTGCATGTGCGTGTGCATGTGTGCGGCATCACCTCAAAGTAGATGGTTGCCACGTCTCGCCGGTTGAGGGGCTGGCGGGGGGAACCAAGGGAGAAGGCGGAGGGGGAAGGAGGTGAGAGAAAAGGGGAAAGGGTGGAAAGATGACAAGTAAAGGAGGGGGCCAGATTCTGGTTTTGAGGCGCCTCAAAACAAGTAAAGGAGGCGGCCAGATTCTGAGAGTGGAGTTGAGAGAATGATAGCAGCAGGCAGGACATGCGGCAGAGGGGTGGTGCAGTGATGGGGGCACGGACGTTGCACCTTTCTGTGCCTCTCTCTGCCCCCCATCTCACGTGGTAGTAGCTGTTGCTGGTGCTGCCGTTGACCCACTCGCCCTGGTGCGGCGGGTGCAGGCGGAAGTGATCGGGAAGTGCGGGTAGCCACCACGAGGAGTGGGGGAAGGGGTTGCACAGCAGACTTTGAGGGGAGGGGAGGGGAAAGGGGGAGGCAGCACGGGGGGAATGGGGAGGTGGGGAGCGGGATTGAGAAGGGCGCGATGCGGGAAACCGCGAGCAAGTAGGGCATTGAGCAGTGCAGGAAAGTGCATGGGGCGGGCCACAGGTACAGCAGTCCCCGCAGCGCGCCTCTCTCACCTGGGCAGCGCGCTTCTCTCACCTGGGCAGCGCGCCTCTCTCACCTGGGCAGCGCGCCTCTCTCACCTGGGCAGTGCGTCTCTCACCTGGGCAGGTCGCCCGTGGTGTCCACAAGCAGAGCGCGGTGGGTGAGCAGCGCGTACAGGAACGCCGACACCAGCGACAGCAGCCGCGCCGCTACAGTGGGGGGCGTCTGAGGCTCGTACCACACCAGGTACCTGAGGGGGGGGCAGGTGGGGTTGGGGGGTGTGAAGGGGCGTAAATTGTTGTGAGATGCAGAGAGAAAGAGAGAGCGCGAGGTGGTGAGGCGCAGCGCGGGCAAGGTGCAAAAAAATGGTTTTTGTTTTTGTTTGTTTGTTTTTTTGTTTTGTTTTGTTTTGTTTTTTTTTTTTTTCTTCTTCTTTCTTTCTTTCTTTCTTTTCGAAATTTGACCGTTTGGTACGGTACTGAAGTTTTCGGCCGTATAACACGATAAAAAACGGCCAGAAGTGCCATTTTGAGGGTGGTGCGAAAAAAACGCTCGTTTTTTTGGCCGAATTATAAAAAACGGGGTGAAATGTACCGCCGGAAAGCACGGATCTCGCATTTCGACCGCCGAAATGCGCGGATCTCGCCTTTTGACGGCCGAAATGAACTGATCTGGCATTTCGCCAGCCAAAATGCGCGGATCTCGCATTTCGCCCGCCAAAAGGCACAGATCCATTATGCGCGTGGATCTGCCAAAAAAAAAAAAAAGGTTTCCAAACAAAAAACGGCGTTTTTTTCATAAAATGGCCGAAAAATATGGCCATATTAAATGGCCTGTATAATACGATCACCGTATTTTTGCACCTTGAGCGCAGATTGGTTCAAACTCTTGGGCTACAGCTGCCCCTTCCCATCATGCACTGCTCTCTTACCCAACACCCAACCGGCCCCCTCTCCCCTCCCCTGCCACTGCTCCCCCTGCCCGCTCACTTGCATGTGTCCCCTGTCCGCTCACTTGCATGTGCCCCCTGCCCGCTCACTTGCATGTGCCCCCTGCCCGCTCACTTGCATGTGCTCCTTGGCGCCTCCAGCCGCTCCGCATGCGCCTGCCAGCTCTGCACGCCCGCCACACATGCCTGCCGCCCACCGGAGTGGAAGGGAGGGAGAGGCACGGCACACGGGGAGAGGGGCGGCACACAGGGAGAGGGACGGCACACGGAGAGAGGGGGCGAGGAGGGAGAGAGGAGGATGAGTGAGCAAGGTCGATGCGAAGCGGAGAGCAAATGGGGAGGGGAGAGGAGGGCAGAAGGGTGAAGGGTATGGAAATTGCACTGCCACACTCACCTCGGGGCTGCTCCATTCCACATGCACGCCTCACCTCGTGTGCGCCTAACCTCGTGCGCGCCTAACCTCGTGCGCGCCTAACCTCGTGCATGTGCTCATACGCCCTGAGCGCTCTGAGCAGCGCGGCGGAGGGCTTGTGCGTGGAGGGCGGGTAGAGGTGGTGGCGCTCGTGCAGCGCCCAGCAGGACGCCCCCTGCTCCGCCGCCGCCAGGCGCTCCAAGTCCGCTTGCGCATGCAGGAGCAGGTCGGGGCGCAGGGCGGAGGAGGCGGAGGGGAGGGGCGAGGGGTCCCATGCAGACTGGTGGGGGATGCAGTGGGGGGGGGAGAAGACAGAAGGGATGTAAGATGTACATGCGAGATAAGGGACACATGTGAGCCACGGGGCGCATGTGAGGCACGGGACACATGTGAGGCACGGGACACATGTGAGGCACAGGACACATGTGAGGCACGGGACACATATTTACATGTGATAAGAGCAGCACAGCATTGCCGAGGAGTATGACGTTGAGGCATCCAGTGAACCACACACCTTGCGGGTGGAGGGCAGGGCGGGGCCTGTGAGTGCCAGAACGAGCAGCAGCCCCAGCAGCACGCAGCAGCCGAGAGCAAAGCACCCCAGCACAGTGAGCTGCCGCCTCGACGCACCCCTCCACTCCCGCCACTCTCTCGGCCACTCCCTTGGGCAGTCCGCCTCGTGCCACCAGCGCCCCACCTGCTCCGCTGCACCCACGGCCAGCCCCACCACCCCCCTCCGCCTCCTCTTGTGCGCCTCCCCATACCCATCCCCATACTGCCCCACCCCTATCCCCCCTACCCCGCCCCCACCGTACCCCGGCCCCATGGCCCCCCCCATCAGCCCTAGCCCCCCTCCCCCCCCTCCCGCGGCTCGCCTCTGCGCCATAACGCCCCCCAGCAGCCCGCCGGATTCCATTCTCTGCCCGCCCACCATGTACCCCCCACCCCCTGCTGCCGCCGCTGCTGCTGCCGCCGCTGCTGCTGCCGCCGCCGCCGCTGTTGCCGCTGCCGCCGAAGCTGGTGCGGCCCCCACTGCCCCTCCCGCTGCTGCCAAGACCCGCTCCCGCCACTGCTCTCCCCCTCCCCGCGCCATGCCCCCCTCCCTGCCCGCCCTGCCCACCCCTCTGGCTGCTGCGCCTGATAGAATCTCAGTGGGCGGGTGGGACGAGGGGCTGGGCGCAGGGGGGAAGGGGGAGGTAGTGGGGCCGGGAGCAGAGGTGTAGTGGGAGAGAGGAAGGTCGTATTTTGGGGAGGTGGAGAGCGAAAGGGCTGGTTGGGGTCGTGACGGGGAGGAGAGTGGGGGAATGTAGGTGCGGGGGGAGAGGGGAAATGGGCTGGGCGGTGGGAGGATGGCGGTGGGGGCAGAAGCGGATGGGGAGGGGGAGAGGGAGTGGTGAGTGTAGACCTGTGGAGCAGCGGGAGCTGCTGCTGCTGCTGCTGCTGCTGGTCCTGCTGCTGGTGGTGCTGCATTTGGTGCTCGTGCTGCAGAGAGGGGAGCGGAGGGAGCAGGGGGGGCAGCAGCGGGGGGAGCAGAGGGTGTTGTGGTGGGAGTGTAAGGGGAAGGCGAGGCGAGTGATGAGGTGCGAGAATGGAAGGGAGAGGCGGAGGCGGGCACAGCAGCGAGGGAGGAGGAGGCGGAGGACGAGGAGGGCTGGACGGGAAGGGGAGCAGCACCCCCTGTGCTGGGAGGGGGAGCAGCACCCCCTGTGCTGGGAGAAGGAGCAGCACCCCCTGTGCTGGGAGGGGGAGCAGGAGCAGCAGGGGCAGCAGCACCAGTGCCAGCGGCAGCAGCACCGTCAGGAGCAGAAGAAGGGGGAGCAGAGTACGCAGCAGCAGCACCATCACCAGCACCATCAGCAGCACCATCAGCAGCACAATCACCAGCACCATCACCAGCACCATCAAAAGCACCAGTGCGAGCACCAGTGACAGCGGCAGCTATTGCTTCTACCTCACCACTCACACCGCCCTCCTCCCCTCGCCTTCCCCTTCCACTCCCCCCTGACCCACCTCTACCCTCCCCTGGCCCCCACACCTTCTCAGCCGCTCTCGTCGTTCCCTCCCACTCCGCGGAGCTTCCCTGCCCTTCCGCTCGCTCACACCATTTCCCCGCCACTCCCCCCTCGTGCCCTTTCCGCTGCGCGTACAGTTCCGCCACCCATCCCACCGCCTCCCGTCCGCCTTTCCCCCCTCCGCCTGGGTCCCCTGCGCCAGGCTCGGTCAGCGCGAAGTGGTCGCTGGCGGAAGCTGCGCGGGCAGGGGGGGGAAGAATTGCGGAGGCGGAAGAAGGGGGGAGAATGACAGAAGCGGAGGAGGGGCCGAAGGCGGAATGCACGGAGGAGCCGGACGGGGAGGTGGGGGCGGAGAACCGTTGCGCAAGCGCATGGGGGTTGTGGGCGGGCGCGGGGGGGTGTGCGGGCGGTGGCAGGGAGGAGAGGTGGGAGAGATCGACGAGGGAATCGAGCGGGTGATAGCGCGCGCGATAGTACGTCATGGCGGATGGCTAGGGGAAGACAAGCGCGCAGGGGGAACGCGCGGGATGGAAGGAGAATGAACGGGTGAGGGTGATGGCTGATGGTTGATGCGGCGAACAGACTGCAATTCTAAGGACTGGCTTCATGGAGGTGCTGGTCGTGGTGGAAGGGATTTATGGGAGAACCGTGATACGTTATGAGCCTCCTCGCTGGAAAACAAAACACTTTCATGTTCACAATGGATAAATCATACACCAAAGTTCGCCTTAGGTGAAAATGAAACGTTCACAATGAGTTGAGATGTGGAGATGGCATGAAAACGCAAAAAATGAACCAATGAAAGACCAACCCAGCAGGGGGCCATCCAATAATAAACGATATAAAACTTAGAAGGATCTTGTTAAGCTCTACATGATAATATGCCTAGGGATAAGAAACAGGGCTCAAAATTGGTTTAGGGGGACCCTTGGTAATCAGGGTACCTAATTTTTTTTGCCCTGCCTACTAGGGTGGAAATTTCGGCACCCTTTGAAAATCAGGGTAAATTTGAAAAAAAAACCAAGTACACTGTTTGGCCAGGGAAAAAAATTGAACACCCTTTTATGTGCTTACAACAGTCGATCATACTTTGGTGTGCTTTCAAATCTCGCATGCATACAAGCACGTTGTCTTAGTTAAATTATATATTGAGTTATGTTGGAAATATCTCAAAGGACGTAAGCGTTTCTGAAGTGTAACACTACACTCGAGGAAGATCGCAACGGGTACGCGAGTCAACAGAGGGGTGGACAAAGAACACGAAGGGACTCGAAAGGTCGCAACTGGAGGTTGCGACTGACCGTTACAACATCGCGGATGGTAACCGAAGCGACAATCGAGTCGCTGTGCGACTCGATAACCGCTCTTGCAACTGTATTCTACAACTGCTTTCTTATTTTCTATATATTGCTGTATGCTTGTTTTCTTTAATTAATCACTTGTTCTCATATACTAGTACAAGGGTTCAACTACCTCAACTTCCGCTGCACTACTCAAGCCTCATTCTACAACTGGGACTTAGTCTCTGGAAAGATCCTAAGGGCTTTTCTCAGCCCAACATGGTATGAGAGCTGGTCAGAGGCCAAACTCCCAGCAACTACGTTCAATATGCAATTCAACGACTTTATTGATTACAAGTCATGGACAGCAAGGGCAAGAAAATCTCTACGGGCTCACCCAGCGCCCAAGACATTCAACCCGGCAACTCTGGATTGCATACTTCAGGACTGCAAACCGAGACCGGCGCTGCTCAAGAAACAACAGGAAGAACACCGGAAATGGTGACCCCATCACCCTCTTCAAGCGTGGATCCGAACCTTATGGAAAGGTTCTTCAGCTTCATGTCGCACTTGGACCTGCAGCAGCAGACAAGGACACCTGCGCATTCAACACAGAGCAACGGAGGAAACATGGGATTAGCGCCGATGAGCCTCGACAACTCATCGTTCGGGCGACACAATCAAGCGCCTACCTTTGCGCCTTATCACTCTTCACCGGGGACATTCGAGTTCATGCCGCCCCGTGCCCAACCAACAGCAGCTGCATCACAACAGACACCAAACGAGATTTTGAGTCTCCAGGCGCAGTTTTCACACGTAATCAAGTTACAGACATCCTCACCATTCAACGGACACGACTTCTTTACCTGGAGCTTTGAGTTCAAGCTGCTGATGGAGGCTACGCATCTCTTGGGATACTTCAACGGGTCCCTGCCATTCCCAAGCAACGGCACTGGAAAGGAACAAGAAAATTTCACGTATCAGTCGCTGCTGGCGTATACAGTTCTCCTGCGGAACCTGTCACCACAAGAACAGCAGAGCATCAGAACGTATCGGAGCTACGGAAACTCCGCGGAACTCGCATGGCATCATCTCAAGTGTCTCTATCAAGCAAACGACAGCGTGACACAAAGCAGACTCATGCAACAGCTGACAACAATACAGATGAAGACCGGGGAAAATGCGATGCAGTATATGAGTCGATGCCAAACACTCCGCGACCGCCTGCTTCGGTGCGGAGGAACAATCACTGAAGAAAGCTTCGTGACGCTTGTCCTCGCCGGGCTCGGGCCAGAATGGAGAACCACACGCTCGCTTCTTCGCGCCCACGGAAGGATATCGGAGATGCACCTCTGCGCCGAGCTTCACGCTGAACAACAGGAGATGGATCTGTTCGAAGAAAGACAACCAAGGAAGCAGCAGCAGTTAGTTTTCTACACTCAACGAAGGAACGACAACAACTACAATCGACGCGGCAAACAAGATCAACGCGACAACAGAGGACTCACCTTCGTGCCACCGTTCTGCCACAACTGTCAGACTTCCGGACATTCCAAAATCAACTGCACACGTCCTCGTGTTTATTGTCCAGTAGACCCACACGTTGCCTCCACTCAAGAAAGCCCTCCAAGGCGCTCTTCCACATCTGTACAAGGGACACCGAACATCATTAACTGCATGGTACACATCGACAACTGCGCATCCAGATAACCACCCACTTACGCACCAGACGAAGAAGAACTTCCACCGCCGTGCTCACAAGGACTTGAGGTCAACCCGACATACGCTGCGGTCGCCAACGCCGAACCCACCGGGCGAAACACCTGGTTCTTGGACAGCTGCTGTGGTCAACACATGTGTTCTTCCGGACGCTTCGTGCAACGAGAGCGACACCTCACCCGCGACGTCATCATCACCGTCGCCAACAACGAAAACCCGAAAACAAACAGACAAGGAGTGGTTCAGTTACAATCCATGGAGACAAACGTTATACTTCAACTCAACAAGGTCCTCATCGTCGACAACTTGGGATACAACTTACTAAGCGTCAGCCAGCTAATGGCAAAAGGGATTCACCTGGAGTGCGACTCCTACTCCAACGAGTTTCGCCTTTACCACGGGAAGGGCGGTCTCTTCATCGGTCGTGCTCTCCTGAAGTCCGGCGTCTTCATGTTGGACTTCGTCCCCGACCGCGGTACTGCCGACAGCAACGGAATCGTGTCGTTCGCCGCCTGGACACACCCGCCGGATCTTGACCCCGACTTTGACCCTGATGGGTTCTGGCACTCCAACACCATACCTGCAGCAGAAAGAACACGAGCATTAGCAGCCATCAAACAAGAAAGACAAGTACCAGCAAGTGTCCCCTCCCAACCATCACCTGCAGTAGCAGCAGCAGGACCCAGCCGAGTACCACCACCAGCGATCCGAGGACCGCCAACCGAAGCAGATCAACTTATGCCCATCACACGAGAAGTCTGTCGAAGTCCCGCCACGGTCGTCGCGTTCTTCTCCAACACCGACATATACCACCGCTTGCCCGGCCATCGCGCTCCCGACGACATCTGGCACCAACGATCCGGACACCCTGCAAACAGTACAATACTGCAAACCATCGAAGCAGAAGTGTTAGAACGCAACGCCCTCCTAACAACGAGCGGCCAAGAACTTCGACGACCACGCGCACGGTGCTTTACGTGCCCCGAAGCCGATCTTCCCCACCAGTCTTTCCCATCTCATCACAACCCAAGCGCACCAGCATACGCACCGATGGAAAAAGTCTACAGCGACATTTTAGCCAGAGCAGGACGTTTCACCCAACGAGCACGATGGGGGCTACACCTCGGCATCGCACAACATTTTCACGCATGGAAAATCCTCGACATACAAGACAAAACTACAGTGGCATCACGTGATGCTATCTTCTACGAGCGACTGATGCTGCAGCATTACCTGGACAACATTGCCGACACACATGACCCCACCGACGGCTTCGCGGGCCTTCGTTCCTTTGCCGACCGTGCTGCCGAAGCTGACACAGCAGAAGAAGACGTACCTGGAGCCTCGGAAGCTGCCGGACCACTCCCTTTCTGTTCCGTACCTGTTCCACTCGACGAAGACAATCCTCTCGATAGCAACAACCTCGACACCTTTTATCACTTCGCTGACCACGGTTACGTTACACCCCACCCGGTCGACACGAATGTTTCAGAACGCATCGGCCCAAACTTCTTACCTGATCCAGAAAACGGTGACGAAGCAGCCTATTCCGGGAATGAAAATTCCCCTCGATACACACCAACAGGACTGCAGATACTCGGCCTATGGGTCTCCGTCCAGCATCCGCCGCCGCCATCTCCGCGCGAGCCCTCGACTCTGTCGCAGGCTCTGTGGGGGGAACATAAGGCGAAATGGAAGGAGGCTATGGAAAAGGAGTTAAAGGCTCTGCAAGACCCAGTACCTGGGACTGAATGTCGTCGAAGACAACTCGGCGCTCTACCTACACGCTGGAAAGTACGCAGGCACTGTCGCGAAGAAATTCGGTCACAACCAATCTGCGATCAAAATCGCGAACAAGGAAGGCTTCGCCAACCGAACCAAGCACATCGCCCTGCGGTACTTCTTCGTCAAGGATGAAATCGCGAAGGGGAGACTTCAACTCAGTTACTGCCCGACGACAGAAATGGCCGCAGACTATCTGACGAAGAAATTGGCGAAGGCAAAATTCGATTACTGCACGCTGCTGACTGGGCAGACAAACGTCACCGGATCTGAACACGTCAGCACTCCAGAAATGAAGGGGAGTGTTGGAAATATCTCAAGGACTTTAAGCGTTTCTGAAGTGTAACACTACACTCGAGGAAGATCGCAACGGGTACGCGAGTCAACGGAGGGGTGGACAAAGAACACGAAGGGACTCGAAAGGTCGCAACTGGAGGTTGCGACTGACCGTTACAACATCGCGGATGGTAACCGAAGCGACAATCGAGTCGCTGTGCGACTCGATAACCGCTCCTGCAACTGTATTCTACAACTGCTTTCTTATTTTCTATATATTGTTGTATGCTTGTTTTCTTTAATTAATCACTTGTTCTCATATACTAGTACAAGGGTTCAACTACCTCAACTTCCGCTGCACTACTCATGTTGTGTGATGTCATCATATGCTATCACATTCAGTCTGCCTCCCATCCCATGTTTTTTCAACTTGCATGTGTGGTTTGAATGTGCAAGCATTTGTGTGTGGTGTGTTCTGGAGTTTGGGAATGTGTTCTGTGTTATTTTTGTTTGAGCAGGTATTTGTGATAATAGATCTTGAGAAGATCTTTCCGACGCAACAAGAATCGCTTCAATCGGAGCAAGAACGCGAAAGCTATGAAGATTCAAAGTTCATGAGCTTGCGTTACAATTGCGGCGGTTACTAAGTGAAGTTGTGGGGTGACTTTATATGGAGTTGGGACCTTTGGGGTTGGGGAAACTTGTCACTCTACTGTAACAGCTGCAAATAGGTTGGGAACAACCAAGCTAGGTTGGGAAGGGTGGCCAACTTGGATGGATTGGTTGGGAAGGGACAAATGTCAAAGTTGGGGTTCCTATAGGGAGGGAATCTTTGTGCTTATGGGGTTTCCTTGGTTGGGGACTCTCTTGGGACCTCCCATCTCATCCCTCTCTTCCTATCCCAACCTTTCTCTTGCTCCTTCTTATTCCTTGTGAGATTCTTGAACTTTGATTGAACCTTTTTGAGATTGAGTTAAGTTCTCCTCCTACAGCTTACCCCCTAATGCGTCGAAAGCCATAGCGTCGCGAATACTTCATCAATCAACATGATTCAAATTGGGAACGGTAGCTGAGATTAAGAGCTACAACATATCCAAGTTTCGCGACATTCCAACGGCTAGTTTTCTGTCGACGTCGTTTCTTGTGAAGACGACTTTTCTGTCCAGAATTTCGGATTTATATTTTGAGTAATTCTAGCTCCTAAGTTCACCTAGACTCCGTCCTTAATCCTAACAACTCAAGCCTCATTCTACAACTGGGACTTAGTCTCTGGAAAGATCCTAAGGGCTTTTCTCACCCCAACAAGTTATATAATTGTTAGGCTTGGTAGGTTACCAAACATTACCGTAATCCCCCGTATAAAACACCCTATGGTGTTAATAAAAATGCAGCGAAATTTTGGGCTGGGTGTAATTAAAAGAAAAAAAATGTGCATATGCATTTTTTTATTGGAATTCAAGTGTGCATGTTTCACCCCCTTCATTTGAGTCAGATACCCACTTTTGGTCATCTCATTGCATACCGGCGGATATTGCCCATCTGCATGCCACATTGGCACTGCGCGTTCAGTGTCAGAGAGGATGCTGCCAGAACAACCAATCGGCACACGTTTGATTTGGCGCGACACGCGAAAGTCGTGTACAGTATGAACCTTTCGGATTTCAATGTTCTCGGTGCCTTTGTTTTCGTTCGGGCAGACTCGTCTCCTACCTAAATACCCGCGTCGCGATGGCCACGAGCTTGTTTTCCCCACTTGCTTTGACGTGCATACGGTTGCCCCAGCAGGAGTGGAAAAAACGAATGGTTGGACACATCTACGCACCGCAAAATTCTAGTGTTTCCTGCTAAAAATGGAGATTCTAGGTGGCAGGGGGGTGTTCAAAAGTTTTCACGTCCGAAAGTAGGGTGTTGTGTATATCCAGAAAAATTAAACACCCATACCCGCTCAAGCTACCCGGGGGAGCTTAATTCCGGCGGGTGTTTTATACGGGGGATTACGGTACTGTAGAGGGTACAATCCCCTCCTTGTATACCTCTCTCTTTCTATTCCAACTCCCTTTTCTCTCCTCAACTTTTCTCCTTCCTAAACCTCACGCCACTCCATGGCTCCTCCTAGCTAAACCTCATGCTTTTCCTAGCTTCCTAGCTAAGCTAGCCTTCTAACATGGTATCAGAGCAAGAGGTCCTCCCTGCTGGACCGCCTCCTCACGCTTCCGCCGCGTACTCCTCACCCTCGTTCACTCGCGCGGCCATGGCGGCCACGTTTTGCTGCAGTGGCGGCGTCGTGATGCCGCTGGCCGCGTCGTGCCGCGGCCGTCTCGACGCACTGCCGTGGTATCGGGCCACCGTGCTGCCGTCGCAGTATTGACGTCCCGCTGCGGCGTCGACGCCGCTCTGTGACGGCGTCGTCGGGCTGCAGCCGGCCGCGCGACGCTAGACCGGCCGCCCGCATGCCAGCCTGTGGCCCCCCCCCCCCCCCCCCCCCCCCCCTCCTTCCCCTGTGTCCTCTTCCTTTCCGCAGACGACGGCTGACTCCCGCCGGCCGTCCCACCGTCGCGGGGCCTGGCCACGTCACCGAGAGGTGCGGGCGCCGCCGCCGCCGCCGCTGTTGTCGAAGCCGCCGCCGTCGCCGCTTGCGTCGGGGCCACGCAGCCGCACGCCGCCGCCGCCACCGCTGTCGATACTGCCGCCGCTGCCGCCATCGCCGCCGCAGCCCCTGCGGTCGACGTCGCCGCCTCACGCGCCGAGGGGTCGACCGAGCTAGTGTCGCTGTCACTGTGGCTGGAATGGGGGTGCTAGGTTAGGGGGTGTGGGGGTGTGTGTGGGCTTGTAACTACCAAGCCTAGGGGGTGTGTTAAATTATATATTGAGTTATATAATTGTTAGGCTTGGTAGGTTACCGAACATTACTGTAGAGGGTACAATCCCCTCCTTGTATGCCTCTCTCTTTCTATCCCAACTCCCTTTTCTCTCCTCAACTTTTCTCCTTCCTAAACCTCACGCCACTCCATGGCTCCTCCTAGCTAAACCTCATGCCTTTCCTAGCTTCCTAGCTAAGCTAGCCTTCTAACAGTCTCTAGCATTATCAATGCATAGCTAGATAACCTACTACTACTACTACTACTATTACTACTACTACTACTACTACTACTACTATTACTACTACTACTACTACTACTACTACTACTACTACTACTACTACTACTACTACTACTACTACTACTACTACTACTACTACTACTACTACTACTACTACTACTACTACTACTACTACTACTACTACTACTACTACTACTACTACTACTACTACTACTACTACTACTACTACTACTACTATTACTACTACTACTACTACTACTACTACTATTATTACTACTACTACTACTACTACAACTATTACTACTACTACTACTACTACTACTACTACTACTGCATGTTCTGTGAGTCTCACGCCAGTCACTAATACTCCCGCTACTAATAGCTCACTCTGCAGACCTACTATTCCCCCCGCCGACTGAGCTGGGAGCAGCAGAGGGTGTTGCGTTCTCTGGCTCAGCAAACAGCGCCGAACTGGGGATGGCACCGGTGAAGTCTCGGATAGTGTGGCGGGGCTTTTCTCCACGAAAGATGGCCACCACGTCGAACCAGTCCACGTCAGAGTCCAGCAGGGAGCACCGCATGAGATGGCCGAGGGTGATGTCGCCCATGCTACCCCGCGCCCATGTCTTTATGAGCATCTGCTTGGAGAAACCGCGCTCGCAGTCGACAGTGCTCAGCGAGAGAACGGCAGCAGCTTGCCACATGAGCATGATGTTGGGGTAGCTGAGCTGCCATTTGCTGTCACGCAGCGTGTTGCTCAGCGCCTGGAAGAAGTCCTCATGATGATGCTGGGAGTGCATGGTGGATGTGAACATCCATAGCTCCGTGACTGCATTGCTGTACTTGAATCCTGCAAGGGGGGTTCGGGGCGATGAGGGAGGAATGGTTCAGTGTTGAGACTTGAGAGGCAGCAATTCTGTTCGCATAGCATAGCATACCATGACTCCATGGTTGAGAAGCAGGCGCTCTAAATTACCTGGGAGCTTGTGCCGAAACAGGCCGTCCAGCTGCTTTAGCCACTTCTTGAAGGCCGCCACGCGCAGGATGTCGTCATCCAGGTAGGTCTTGTCCAGGAACAACTTAGTCCCCTCCAGGTTACGCAGATCGTTCAGGCGGCGGTCGAGGAACATGTTGACAGAGCGAGCATACTTGACGCAGAGCTCGAAGCAGGCTGTCACGTCGCCGTCAGAATCTTGGCCTGGCAGCGGTCGCTCGTGGAGTTTGAAGGAGAACGATTGCGGGTTTCCGTCACCGTCGACGCCCTTGGCCATCATCACCCTCTTGTCCTTAGCCGCATGCGCCGCGATGAACTCCGGCAGATGGAGCTTCTCCCCATGGCCGAAGACGTGCCCAGGCCCAGAGCTAAGATAGCGCGCCGAGATCCGCATCTTGGTTTGCTCAACCACGTGTGCCACGAGTGTTACGTCAACCTATAGGGGCGGGCACAATACACACACCACGCATCAGTGCTATGCTTTGCGCCAGAAACCACATGGACCGGTCGGCAAACATGGGGGGTGAGAGTCAGACACGCGTAGCGATATAATGAATAGATCAGACACGGTGATGCATACCTGGCACTGCTGAAACCGTTGGTTGAGGATGTTCAGCTCCGTTAGAATGTCGGCGAGGAAGCGCAGGAGAAAATGAAACTTGAACGAAGTAACGACTTCGTACAAGTCACTCCCGTGCTCGCGTAGCAGCAAGATGGCGGCTGGGAGCACGTCCACGAGGCGGTTCACCGCCTTGCCCCTGGAGAGCCAGCGGATGACATGGATTCCATGGTGTTCCAGGGTCGACTGACAGAAGATCAGCTGCAGCGCCATGAAGCGGGTGTAGCGCACGTGACTACGTCCAAGGATGTCGGCAAGTGTCCGTATGATAAGGTCAATGACGCTTAGCTCGGGCACGGCTGCAGCCGCGTCCTTAGCCGCCAGCGCCTCCCTGAAGGCAGGGTGGGAGGATAGGGGCAGAGTAGTAGAAAGGCTGATGTTAACAGCCTTGCGATACTTCAAGACTTAACCAAGGATCTTTGCTGGAATGGTAGACTAGTAAGACATTGTAAGTCTTAGAACTTGTAAAGTGTTGACAAGAATTTACTGAAGAACAAGTTAACACTTCAAGTTGTACAAGCTACTTTTATATCTGCTAGAAGTACCTATTCGGTGATGTACCTGTTCGAGCTATCGTTATGCGCTCTAACCGCTACTGAAAAGAGCGCGACTGTTCGCGTGACTGAAACGACTTGCTGACGTAATCATCCAGATGAGCGCTACTTGCTGACGTCATTCTACGGATGCTAACTATAGTGTAACTCGACAATATCTATCGGAACTACTTACAGGAATGCTTAAGTACGATTTTATCTCAACACTTCCCTTCATTTCTGGAATTCCGATAGTGTCACTTCTTGATAATTCCGCAGAGCTCGTTGCAGTATTGGAACTTCTGACGTGTCAGCTTCTTGGTGAGAAAATCTGCAGCCATTTCATTGGTCGAACAGTAGACCAATTGCATTCTCCCCTTCTCGACTTCATCTTTGACGAAAAAGAACCGCAACGAAATATGTTACGTCCTGTTGGCGAAACCAGGCTGGTGGGCACTCTTGATTGCACTTTGATTGTCGCACTGCAGGGTGAACTGTGTACTTGTCATTAATTTCGCTTCCTCTAGTAGCGCTTGCAGATAGAGACCTTCGCGAGTAGCTGTGCATGCATCTATAAACTCGGCTTCAGCGGATGAAAGAGCTACTAGCTCTTTCTTTGTAGAATTCCACGAGATAGTCCCAATAGGTTCGAGTCCATAGATGAATCCGATGCGAGATCGTCGATTAGTAGTATCTGCTGCATGATCAGCATCAACGTACCCGTTCAGATAGAAGGTTTTTGTAGTAGTAACTTGGTAGGTAAGTCCGACTTTAGGTGTCGAAATGAAATACTGCAGAGCGCGAAGAAGACAACCCAGTTGCTGCTAATAAACCTGTAGTTCCGCGTTATCGAGTAGAGTAGTATCTAGTTGATGGTTAGTCGGTAGAGATCAGTAAGGAGTGGTTACTGTTGAAGCTGTGAGATTAAAACATGCGGCTAGAGTAGCTGCATACTTTGAAGCTGTAAGATGAATAGCAGTTGCTGTTCGGTGGATGCTAAGTCCAAGAAACAGTGTGACTGTAGGAGCGATAGTAATCTGTAGATTCCGTTGGAGTTTCTCTTCGAAGATAGTAGCGAGAGAATCCGTAGTGCTGATATAAAGTAAGTCATCGACGTAGGCGACGAGTAGAATGTAGTCAGGACCATTGGTAAGCAGGTACATTCCCTGGTCGTGTGGAAGTTGACGAAACCCCGTAGTTAACAGTTGTCGATGTAGATACTGATGCCAAAGTCGTGGAGCCTGTTTAATGCCGTAGAGAGATTTTATGAGATGGCACACGCCGGGAGGATTAGTTTCGTAGGAATGTGGGTACTCAACCAAAATTAAGGCGTCGATGGGTGCATATAAAAATGCATTTGCGACGTCGATTTGTCGAAGTCTGAAATTCCGGTAGGCCGCGATGCAGAGAAGAATTCTGATACTAGTGTATCGGCCGACAGGAGCGAAAGTTAATTCGTAGTCGAGTCCAAATGTTTGCTCAAAGCCGCGGACAACCCATCGCGCCTTGAATTTTTCGAAGGAGCCATCAGCGTTCGTCTTAACGCGGAAGACCCATTTTCCGGTAAGAACTTTACTCCCCTTTGCTTCCTTCAGTGGGATAAGATCCCAGGTGCCACACCTTTCCAGAGCCGCTAACTCTCGGTCCATGGCTTCACGCCATTTTTCCCTGTGAGGACTTGTCAAAGTTTGGCGAACTGTTTTCGGCTCCAGAATTTTACTGCTGTTTTGCTGTACTGCGACGGCAAGTCCCAAAATTTGTAAACCAGTTTTTGTAAAACGCGGACGATTTGATTTGACACTGGAGAAGTTGTGTTCTGATCCTTGTTCCCCCCCAACTTCTTCAGGTGTTAAACGGATCGCTGCTTTGGAGACAACTGGCATGGGTTGCTGCTGACGATCACGTTCGTAATCAAGAACCACATCGCGAACATCCTCAGAGTCTGCTTCGCTGAGTGGGATAAACTCAGCAGTTCCAGCTGACGTGGTTGGCACGGGGATGTCTGTGGCAGCTTCGGAGGATTCAGCCACGGACTCATCCTGTACATTTGCTTCGGCCTCGTCGGTGGCAAAAGCACGCGAGCCCTCAAACAGCCTGGCAGGATTGGCAGCTGCAGCCTGGTGAGCACGAAAAATAGGTAAGGTGAGTCGTTCGTAGAAAAGACAATCACGTGCTGGTACGATTCGACTCGTGCGAAGATCCATAATTTTCCACGCGTAAAACTACTTCTCGATGCCAATATATACTCCCCACTTGGCGCGTTCAGAAAAATTTCCGAGTGCTGCTGTCGGAGGTCAATATTGGACGATGCACCCAAAAACTCGTAAAAGTTTTGTGTTGCCAACTGTTTTTGTCCACTGCAGGTGTTGTGAAGAAAATTCTGGAAGAGAAGTTGTTGACAACAAGTTGTGCAGAAGAACTGCATGGTCCAAAGCGTAAGTCCAAAAATGTGGTGGCAATGCTGCCTGAGTCAGCAAGACTCGCATCTTCTCTTGTAGAGTCCTGTTCATCCTTTCTGCTACCCCCATCTGTTGGTGTTGATGTTGCAGGGACAACCTGCACTTGATGCCGAGGGTTTGAAGGTACTCTGTGAAAGTTGTGCTCATATACTCTCCTGCTCTGTCACTCTGAAACTCTTGTAACTTCTCCCCCGATTCTCTTTCAGCCACCGCGAGCCACGCGACGAATATAGAGTGAGCCATATGCCGAGCCGGGATGTTCGCTGTCCAGACATATCGAGTAGAAGCCTCTATGAAAGAGATCATGTATAACTCCCCCTTAGGTTCTGCTTCAGGTAAGTTGAGGATGTCGCTGTAAGCTTTCTGCATAAGTGTGTATCGACTTGAACCCGGAAAGTGACTTGGAAAAGGTTCGTTCGGGGAGATTTGCAGTTGTGCACGTAGTGCAGACTGCTGGTCTTGACGACGGTTTCATCTCAGTTCCATCCGGTAAGAGTAAACTGTTTTTGTCAAGAACTGAAGCTCGGATAGTATGATTAAGTATTCCCGGTGAAGGATGTCCTAATCGTTGATGCCAAATATCTTCTGTTGCTTTGTGCCCTGTTGATCGCAGATAAAAATCAGCGTTAGTATAAAATGAAGAAACGATGAAAGGAGAAGAAGCTGGTGATTCGTCGAGTTGGCCAGGAACGAAGCGAGTAAGAGGTAACTTCGTGGTTGTAATTTCCACATCGAGAACTTCTTCCGGTTGAAGAACTAATTCCCCTTCCTCAATTTCTGTTTTTGTTGAATCTGCTGCAGGTTGACCGACGAGAATCCCTGTTTCTGCTTCACCGCTACTCTGCTGCTTTGCTTCCTCTGATTCACTGCTGCTGCTGGGTCCCCAAAGTACTGTAGGTTTGTTTTCAAGTTGTTGTAAAGTGTCATAGTAATTCCTCCATGTGGATGTATCTTCCTCGGCTGTGTTTGTTGGCCAGGAATCAAGAGCTGTTATAACTGCTGCTGCTGTACAAGATCCTGTTGGAACTGCAGTTGCACGGAAGTCTACGTCAACCTTCTGAAAATCAGTTTCTTCGGGATATTGAAGAACGGAGACCCCATACTGAATGGCTACTCTCCCGATGTAAGTGTTTGTATCATTGTGATAAGGTTCCTGATCCATCATCTCACAATTGCCTTGTGTCCTGATCTTATGTCGCAGGAGTTGAGCTATTGAAAGAAGATTAAAGCCAAGTCCAGCGATGATAAGGGCATTCGTAACGTGTAAGGAAAAACCTATGTCCACGGAATCCAACATGACGCTGCCGATTGATCTTGCCATAATGGTTTGTCCATTTGCAACTGTGACAGGTAC